GGGATTTAGGGGGCTACCCAGGTAAGAATCACACAGCCACAATTAAGTGTTATATTTTCAGATATTTTGTATCTGCCTCACAGCCATACCAACATTGTAATGCATTTGAGGATAGCCAGCGGGTGCTAAGTTAGTCACTTAAATTGACTTGGAAATGGATTGTTCAGTCAGGTAATCTGATTGTTAGCCGTATCTTTGCTGCAGGCTAAATCCATTAAACTCATGGAAATAATTCATTGTTTATTTTATGAGAATTATTTCAAGTGTGCTGTCATCTGTTTGGCTATTTTCACCAGGTGTGTTGCTAAGGATTTGTCTTGGTGGCATATACGATACAAAGACAACAGGGCTTGTTACATAGTGTTAGACATATTATGGCTAGAGGACAGTATGCATCATATAAGTTAACCGCTAATGTTACTCAAATGAAAGTCACTGATAATTTATCAGACTGTCAGTGAGGTATTAGAGAGAACAATAATTAAATCTGACAGGCAGATCTCCCTGAAAGGATGAATTCATTTAGTTCTGTAATCAAAATAGATTTGGACAGATAATGGGGTAAATGTTGGAGGGGAAAAAGACTGGAAGTAAGTAGTTTTGCCCTCAGGGAACGTGAGGTTGAGGTAATATTTCTTTGATAATCATCCAAACAGAGTGTTTCTAGGGGCATGCAGTGAAGCATGACTTCCTCTGCACTGCATTTTATGATAGTCATGCTTAGGCTGGCTGGGATTATCTCCAGTAGCTGAAAACCTGAAGAGTTCACAGCACTTTGAAGAACTTGTGTGATATGTTATTTGTGGGACATTTTAAAGGTTTTTGTTGTGATTTCTTTTTTCAGTTGGCTACTACGGGATCACAACATGAAACTGAGAACAACCTACCCAGGGTTCACTGATGCAGTCAAATCCTTCTTTAATCACCTCATTAGGAAAGTTGCTCCATATCAGGTACTTTCCATTTTAGCACAAGAGAGATTTAAAAAGTATTTGGGTTGATGCACTCAGATATTCTAGAAAAATTACACGAGGCTATTCTATAAAAATATGACTAAAATACATCTATATCAAAATAGACAAGTTTTTCCAATGAAATGTTTTGAGTTTTCATCGTTACTTGCATACACACTTTTGCCTATTCATTTTGTAAAAGATATCAGCATGCATGCAATTAAAAAACTATCCAATCCCAAAAAGATTATTTTCACGACACAATCCTTGTTTTCACAATCATATTTTATCCCTGCATGCAATATTTAGTCACCGCCTCCTAAAAACCTTCAATCTGCTGTTGGCCATGTTGTAACCATTGTTAGCAATGCAATGCACCATACAACCTCAAATTGCTCAACTTGTGTCCCCCCCAGCCATATTTTCTTCTCATCAGCTTCATGCATCATTGAGCATGATCTGATTTGCATTCCACAGTGTTTTTAAAATTCAGCTGCATTGAGGGTAGGGATGGTCAAGATCTGGTGCCAGGCTCTAATATGTGTCCTCTATTCATTTGCTAATTAATGCACAGTACTCCAAGGGTGGCCCAATTATTGCAGTTCAAGTGGAGAATGAATATGGCTCCTTTGCTAAAGATAAAGAGTACATGCCTTTCATCAAAGAGGTAAGAATTAAAATTGCACAACTATGTCAACAGTAACTGGCAGCTCATAGATGAGTGCGCTTACTTACTTTGTTTTCCCTGCTGTCCTTTATTTGGTCACTCTCCTTTACACTTTCTTTCAAAGGAAAATCAACAAAAATATATCAGAAAGAACCTCCACTGTTTTGTTTAGTTGCCTCCATAATCCCCCTTCTTTCCAGGCGTTATTGTCAAGGGGCATCACAGAGCTGCTGCTGACCTCAGACAACAAGGAAGGACTAAAGCTTGGAGGAGTGAAAGGAGGTATTGTTAGACAAACAAGCACCCAAACAAACACACACACGCATACACACACAAACACACATACAGTATGGTGGTTTGGTGTATTGTGTTTTCACACAACGACAAAGGGGCGAAGGGCGGCCCAGTGTCAGGCAGAAGCAGTTCAGAACCTAATTCTACACACAAAGAATTCTGTGTTGTACCAGAAAGTGGTTGTTTTGAGCGTACTCTGGCATAGACACTGTGATGCCGGAAAATAAGTCTTAATTGTTATCTTTTCTATTAGATACCTGCTACTGTAATATACATGCATTAGTAACCATTGTTTTAAAGTCAATATAAGGTTGTTCTTCACTGAGATTATGAGTATTTCTGGTTTTATTATCACTGCAAACCATGTATTGTCATCCCTATAACAACAGGACAGGGTCTTCAGGGCATTGTTATAATAAACCTTCTTCTGGGAATTCACAAAATGTTTTAATGCATCTCTAAACTGCACCCTGATTTGCATATTATACTCACAGCAAGGTGAACAGTTGAAGTTTGATGCCTCGTTGGCTGAATCCTAATGCAGGAGCTTACACTATACTATTTTAATACCAATTCACTCATGATTTGAAGTGGATTTAGCTTTATATGGAAGTTCCAGGTGCTCTGTAGAAATAGTGATAGTTCTTTAAATACAAGGAAAGAAGCATGTGAGTGTTTAAGTACCACTCAAATCAATAATGCCATAAAGCATGTTAGTTTGAACTGTTCTGCATCTTTTTTCAGTTTCTGTATGTGTTAACAACAGTGTTTTGTCTTTTTTTTTGGTCTGCAGCACTAGAAACCATAAATTTCCAGAAACTGAACCCCAATGACATCAAGTATCTGGATGGAATACAAGTGAGTCTTATTTGTGTGCCGTGTCTAAATTGGTGGGTCTTCATTGTCCGTTATTATTTTATCCGTGTTTGTAGATTTCTTTAGATGTCATTACTAGTTTTCTGATCTTATCAAACATCAGACAGACACGTGATTCGTTGTCCTTGCTCTTTCTATTACCGATATGAAAATGTAGGGCTGCCATAAAAATAAAAGCCTGAAAGAATATCTTAATCTTTAAGAAAATGTATTCAGTGTTTGTACAAGCGCAATAAGGTAGTTGCTGAGAGAAACTGAAAGGTCAGATGTATCTTTTGCTCAATTGAGTGTGTTTTACTTTAGCCTCAGAAGCCTAAGATGGTGATGGAGTACTGGTCTGGCTGGTTCGATCTTTGGGGGGACCTTCATCATGTGTACACAGCTGAGGGTAAGACAGACTTAAGATTAGAGTACAGGTTTTCTTTAGTGAGAGCTGCAAGTAGGATACTTGGTAAGAGTAAGACATGTGATGGATGCTTTGTTGAGGATTAAACAGTTTGTATTTGTACAGAAGGTCGATAATACTGGCTAATTTGAGACTGGGGTAAGGCGGGTTTTGTGCTGCGAGCCAATACAGAATCTCTCAAGGCAAAACAGACTGTCTCGAGGGTAAGAAAGAGTCCCAGTGCCTTAGGGTAAGAAAGTCTTAAGACAAACCTTTTTAGTTGAGAATAAAACAGTCTCTGTGCAAGGGAAAGACAGGGTAAGGACAGACTCACTGCTATGTGGGTTATGTAAGATGAATTCTCCAGACTGCGTGTAAGACAGTCTCTCTAACGCCATGGTTCCTTCACAAAAGGCACAGAGCCCAGCTGGGATGTACAGCTTAGCATATGGTCATTTCCTCCTTGTTTTGCGGCTTTGTCAGAGATTTGTTGTGAGCCAAATATCACAGACCAGAGTCTGTGTCCCACCCCCTTAACTTTGTTTCTGGGCCATACAGGATGGTTCAAAGATGTAATCCACTGATTCTGACTGAATTTACTGAACACAGGTGGAGGTGTTGCACTTTGAGGGAGACACATCAGTGTTTCCTCTAGGATTTTCTTTTCAGCAGCGGGGGCAGGACAAACCCTGTTAATATGACAGCTTCTTACATTTATCTGTAGACATTAATATAAAAAGCAGGCAACATGAGAAACCTCTTCCCTTCTGAGGTGCATTTTATTTGCACATTAAAATCCAAAAAGAAACATCTCCTCATTAGCTTAAAAGGACTAGTTTGCATCTCTAATTAGCTTTACTAACCTCAGCTCCTCCAGTCACCTCCATCCTCTTTTCCAAAACCACTTTTTCAGACTGAAAACTGAAAAATAATTTAATCAGTCTGTACAGGACAGAGCTGCAGGCTACGTCAGTTTAGTCTAAATTTGTACCTGATCTTCTCAACATTGGACAAGTAGGCAGTAATAATATACAGCTTCCAGTTACTTTCTATCAATTGAGCTAAAGTTAAGTTACAAAGCAGCTGTGTAGCTGCTGTAGAAGCTTTCCTGCTCAGCTGCGCAGTCTGAAGGGGAGATGTTAGCTAACTTGGCGCTAACCGGCTTCACTTTTCCAGCAGGTGGGAAACAACAGACATTTCTTGGTCTTGAGAAGCTGACACACTGTAACAGACACCGTACATTTACTGCCAGAATATTTTACTCCGCTCGCGTTCACGGTCACTTTCTGCCGCTCGGACGATCAAACACTCGCTACGCACCTCCCGATTCAGAGTTACGCTGCTCTCGTAACACCATCTGTCACGTATGTTCTGCATAGAACGAGAGCATAGTTTAATGATCGTGGGAAATTTTAGTAGTGGCGGTCGTGATGCATATAGAGGAAACACTGCACATTCATCTCATGCTCTGCCACTTACTCTGTATCTACATGTGCTGTAGCTACAGATACACATTAGGACTGTCTTGGCCTTGGCCGCATTAAATGACATTTCACGGATGGATCATACAGTATCATTGTGTTTGTTCCTGTTAGTTATAGGCTACAATGTCTCATCAGCCTTATTGTGTAAGTTACAGACTGCATGTTACTGGCTGCACATGAATATAAGACATGACTTTGTACGCTTTGAGGAGCTAGTTTTAACTTCTTTGTACTGTATGCAGGTCTCTAACAGTGACCATTGAGGTGCCGTTGCACTACAAACAAAAAAAATACTTGATACAATTTGATCTGCATTAAAAACATGGATCACATGTTTGGAGCAAATAAGGGGACTCGATTCTAAAAATACTACAATAATGTTTTCTGAATGGAGTTCGGATTGATCAGAGCTATGCTATGCTAACTGTTCACAGTAAAGTACAACGACAGCTGGAATAAAGTTACAGACACACATTTTCTCACCAGGTAGTTCAACTTCCTCGCTTTCTTTTCTCCAAGTAATGTCCAGCTTTGTCTTTGCTGTGAAATAATCATCATAATTTAAAAGATGGATATATGTTTTGTATGAAATGTGTTAATTACCAAAGTAACCTGTAACTATAACTCTTAAATAAAGATAGTTGAGTAAAAATTACATTTATGATGATAATAGTAATAATAATAATAATAATAATAATAATACATTTTATTTATACATGCCTTTCAAGATATGTATAATATATTAATATTTATTTTAGTGGTGTAAAACTATAAAGCTAACTATAATAGCTCAAAATTGCTGTTAAGTACAGGACTGGAATAAATGTGTTTAGAAACTTTGCTCCTAGTGCTGCTAGTGGCTGAAACCCTCAAAGGGTGCTTTTAAACCTTAAAAGGGCTATATGTAGTTTCAATGGAATCATGTATTAATAAATAAAACTTTTACTTCCTTATTGTCAATAGGCTCTAACTCACGTAGAAAAGAAGCACTCACCTCTTTTCTCTGTTGCTTGGATCAGCTGCTATTCTGCTTTTAATGTGAAGGCACCGGGTCGGGATGTAGCCCTGTGTGTGCTTCCGGGCTTCTCTCTGACTACAGCAACAACACCGCAGCTAACGAAATGCAGTCCACTAACACCACGAAACAACCGGCTCCCAGCACAACACAGACTCCGACATAAACTACAACACAAACTCTACGTAAGGATACAAAACAACAATCAATGATTATGTGTTGAAGCTCATCAGGCCAAAGAGAATTAGATGGGTTTCGTGAAAACGCTGAGCAGTCCCACATGACTTACCAGCTAACGCGATTCATATTACTATCCTGTGTACCACCGGTATTATGTGTTGATTCAGTGTGCAAGAAATTATGTAACGGTACAAAGCAAATGTGGAGCGATTCGTTCTTGCTTCTACACCGTTTCAGTCGTTGTAACTTACGTGACCCACATAATATACAATAATGCAAAATAACTACATAGGACAACAAAACAATGGAAAACCCAATCACTACAGTAACGTTACTAACTGCGGTCTATTTGTTATAAAGTGCGACAACAATCTTATTTATTATATTCAGGCTAGCTCACTAACCGTTTCATTATCATCCAATACATTTAGCTGTGCTCACATTGCTAAGCCTCTGGTGAAAGATACACAAATAGTAATGTTAGTTAGCCTGGTTGCAATCTTAAAACCGCACCGCTAGTGGATGCTGAAAACTATATATTGCCCCTTTTAATATATATTTTTAAGTATCTTACAAAGATGTAGTTTGGCAGACTTTGTGTGAACATATCAGTAGGGCTGAATTAAAAGTGGTTATTATTTTCAATTAAACGCTTGATTAGTATTTTTGATTAATCGATAACTCTCTTGTCTAAAATGTCTCACTCTCTAATATCCCAGAGTAAAGTAGATCATCATAGTAGGTCATTAAATTGCTCGTTTTGTTTGACCAAATTAATTTGGATTAGATGATATATAATCTAAAAAAATAACTAAATCTTTCCATTTAAGAGGCTGTAACCAGCTCATGATTGGGATTTTTGCTTGATAAATAATAAACAATTAATTGATTTTCAGAATTGTCAATTAATTCTCTGTTTATTAAGTAACCACAGGTTGTGTCACATATTTCGTAAACTATTTATGCTGGACCACCTTGTCCTGGCTGATGGTATGGGCCCTAAGGTATAAAAAGTACAGTATTAATGTGATAGAGCCAGCTGCTAACTACTACAGGACCCACAGTATATCCACATATCACCTATATAACATGGTCCACATGCTGCAGCCAGGAGGGTGATATTTTTTGTATAATGTACAGTCGTGACATAAATGATAGCACCTGTTTTACAATTGTAAAGATTAATGGCAGCCACACACCCTGCCATCACCATCTTGAGAGCTCTCAAAAAACATCTTATTTCAAACACACAGTGGAGAGCCTCAAGCTTCCTTTTTACTCTCTGTCATTCCTAGCAGCCATCCACATCTTAACAAAAATGTTCTGAAAATGAAAGGGCTAGCAGTCTTGCTGCCTTAAGTATTTTCTCCTCAGTGAGAAAGGGAAAATGGAAAAAGAAAAGACCCTCCCCACGCAGTGTCACAGCTATGAAATGAATGCTGGAATATTCAGCGGGGATTCATGTCCTTGACAGTTCAGTGCTCTGCAGAGTGCAACACAGCCCGCAGTTGGTCACAGCTAGTGCCACCACCATGAAACCAACTGGCTCCATCACTCACCCTGCTCAATTGTTATTCACTAAGGCTCATGCCCTTGATTCAAATCATTAAAGTCGGTTCAATTTGACTACTAAAGTCCAATTTGAATACTTAATTACTTGCTCTGCTATGTTCGCTGCAAAATATAGGTAGCTAATTTGCGCAGGGAGGAAGGCAATTTTTTATGGGTGTGAGCATTGCCCCGTAATGAATTATAGTAACCTGTAATAGGATCCGTGGCTGAGGTCTGCCCATGCTTCAATTGAAGTGGAATTGAGAGCGATAGAATTATTGAATCAGTGGCTCTGGCTTGTTAAAGTCAAATAGATTTTTTGTGGGGTTTTTTGTGACTCATGTTTAGCTTTGCATTTGTTATTCCCTGATTTAGTCCCTGGTTTATATCAGAATAATTAAGCTAAATCATGGACTTTATGTATTAAATGGGATTTGTTTGGGTCTTACTTTTACTTTTTTGACAGACATGATGCCTGTGGTCACAGAGATCCTTAAACTGGACATGTCCATCAACCTCTACATGTTCCATGGAGGCACGAATTTTGGCTTCATGAGTGGGGCGTTTGCCGTCGGAAAACCAGCACCCAAGTCTATGGTAACAAGCTATGGTATGTGTAATGAATCTGTGTTTGACCATTACTGTGTAACATTTAATTATAATAGCCAGAACCACATTCACAGTTACTTAAACTTCTGCTGACTTTATCCAAATGTTTAAAGCACAGTGATCACCAAAGTAGGCTGAAACAATCCAAATTTTATTTGACTCAGGAGTGCACATAATTGTCAAACAATAACCTTTTTGAAATACAGTCAGTAAGTACAGTCTGTGCCTGTCTGCTTGAAACAAATGTGAATAGCAAAGGTAGATTAAAAATAATTTGGATATTAAGATATTATATGTCAAATGTCTGGAGATGGTACTATACCTGCTCCTGAGCCTCTGACCTTCTCTTTGAAATTTGAATATGTAGTGAACACTAATGAATTAATTACCTAATAGAATGCTTGGGAAATGTAAATCAAAGGTGGTCCAATGGCTTTTATATTCTCCTCCTGGGCACGTAACATTGTAATGACCTCGCTCTTGAGAAACGAGGAGAATTCTGAAAACGGTTCCGCAGTAGGGAAGCCCGCCTTTGACCTTCAGCAGTCTTCATACCTGTGTTTACTCCTCTGAATGCCCTTTACCTTTTTGCCTCAAACGGCTCCATTTTCTGTCAAGATAACTCAAAATGTGTCTCGGCTCGCTGCTGTTTCAAGATGTTTGATAGGGGAGCACGGTGAAAGCATCTGCCACGGTAAGAGGCATCCCTGCCTCTCTCTGGCTGCAGAGCCTGCTGTTCTGATAGCGCATTATCTTTCAGATTACGATGCTCCATTATCCGAGGCTGGGGATTACACCACCAAGTACCATCTTCTGAGGAATTTATTCAGCCTCTACCACAGTGAGTGTTGTGTGTTGTTGCTGAGACGGGCCCCACATCTTCTGTCTCTCTTTCTCTCCCTTTCCTTTCATCTCCCCACTTAACTTAATTCTCCTTGTAGAACCTGCTCTCTGTTGGCTAAAGTAGGATAACTTTGCATATGATTACAAGCAGGGATTAGATATGGGTCTATGTGTGTTGTGTGCATGCATGTATGAGTTTTGCCCAAGACAAATTACTGTCCATTGTGAAAATTACATGGCCTTGTTCATGCAGTTTTCTCTGTAAAACAAGGGTTTGTGGTTGGGGGCAGAAGTCTCAAGTGTTTTGTGGCCAGGACTGAAAATGTAGCTTTTGGCAATGTAGGATTGAATCCAGCACAACAAAGTAATAATTTGCCTACAGTTGTGACGATTGAAGATAGTGTGAAAGGCTGCCTTTGCGTGATTCATCCTTATGTTTGTTTTGTAGTCTGCTGAACACTGAGCAGTGGCCTGGATATGCGAGTGAGTCTGAGAAGCTCTGTGTTTTACTCAGCAACTACAAAACACATATAACACATGACCTAATTCTTTAATTAGATCAGTTTGATAATTGTTTGCTTGTCAAATCATGTACAGTGTGTCAGTGTTACTCTTTTCCCTGTGGTGTTGTTTTTGCATAAGCTGTCTTGGATTCAGGCTGATCTGTCAAATGTGTTAACACTGAGCTTTGACGTCAACGTGGCTCAAAAAGTAGACTTGTGATACACTATATGCTTTGGGATTTTCTTATTATTACAAAGCTGTCAAAAATTGCAAAAACTCAGTATATCATATAAAACAAGCTACACATCCATCTGTGCACTTGTGGTATGCCTGCTCGCTATTGATGGTACCAGTTTATCTTAAAGCATTTTCTCTGAACATCAAATATATGGCCCATTTAAAATTTTCATTCTTCTTCTGTGAAGAAAGTTAAATGTCAAATATGATCAAATTTGAACCCTACCATCCTGTTTCTCCTCCCCAGCCACACATCTCCACGCTCTGTTCTGCACAGGATTATATGGATAATTAGGGATAATAATGCCTTTGTTGCAGGAAAAAAAATTCTAATCTGTGACACAGTTTCATAGAAATGTCTTTTCAAAGCACACTTCCCCTCTTAGATATGACCCATTATATACTCTACCAAAGGCACTGGCTTGCAAGCGTTGTAGATTGGAGGAAGGTGTTGGCCATTATCCTCAAAGCTTTCCTTAAGTGATCCAGCTGTTACCACTTGGTGATAAGGAAATGCTGTCAAGCCTTTTCCAGAGGGAGCACTGGTGCTCATGCTTTAACACCTTTAAAAGCAGTTAGAGGGCACCGGCAACCACTGTTAATTGTTGTAATGAGACTGTTTTGTAACATGGAGCACAAACTAGATGCTGCTGTGGAGGGCAAATGGCTCACCCATGGAGCCTTAGAAGCAGTCTCCAAGGGACATGTTACTTTTATGATTTGTACTGAGTGATTCATAAGCTTTAAAATATGAAGACTCCTCAAGAGAATGCTTTAATAGCCCAGAAAATGGTCCAGTTGCTTTTTTGTGCATTTTATTGTTTTGCAGGTCAAACTTGAGCAGGCCAAAAGTAGTAAGTCATCCCACTTTATTTTTTTCTACCAGCTGTACCCAAAACATGGCTTTTAGACTTAACGAAGCAAGTTCAATACACCCAGGATACCTTTCAGTTATCTGGTTTAACTAACCCTAACAATCGCGGTCGGGATAAGCGGTACCACGAAGCTGATTATCAACTCAACTCAGGGTTTCCCAATCCAGCCGTCAGCGTGTTCACATAAAAGAGGCGGGGTAAGCAGCAGATGACAGACATGAACAAGTCCACTGGCAGCAGAGTGTCATATTTTACAAACGAGCAAACTGCTACACTACAGAAATACGACATAGGCCTAGTCTAAGTAGCACGGCTGCAGCTGACATTTGCAGGGAGAGAGAAATTCTCCGACAGTGTGAATGTCTAAATGAACAGGCATAGTCTATTATATTGCGTTGATTTGATGTGTTCTTGTTGTGTGAAAATATCAGCCTTATTCTTTCAGCTCGGCTGTGTCGGCGTTTCCACATTAAAAGACTCGGGCACTGAAGAAGTGGTCTTCCACCTCACCTTAAAAAACTTCTTGTCCCTTCAAAAATGAGATTAATTTATTTAACACACTTCAAAGGTGTTCCAGACATTGTTCTAAATTAACTTCATAAAGCAATCAAACAAAAAATCCATTAATGCCATAAAATGTGCTCAAATAGTGGTTGAAAGACTGAATCTCAACATTTACGCTACTGAAAACTCACCTCATTACCTGCGGCCACATCACAAAAGGTGGGGTGGAACAGGGCTACAGTCTCTGTAGTTGGCCTATAAGAAAGCTATACTAAACTAAATTAGATAGCCTACGTTCATATTAAAATTTAGTATTTCAATATCCAATATCAGTCTCACATAAGAATAATAAAAAAGAAAAGAAAAATTTATTTTAACAGCTGCGACAGGCTGTGTGAAACGGACTGGGACATCTTTAACTCCCTCCTCTGACTGAATTTCCATGTGCTTAAAAATATAGATTCATGTCTATTTTTGTGTTTTTGGAATTATGTATAAACGTGGACAATGTATGTGTTATAAAACAAAATGGGTAAATAAAGGAAAATGAAAATGAATTAATATGCAGACAGACAAACTGGTAACCTACCCTCATTTTTCCTCCTTGCTTTTCAGCCCAGCCTCTCCCTGAGCTGCCCTCTCTTCAGGAGAGGAGAGCATACCAGCCTGTTGTCATCCAGCAGCACCTGTCTCTGTGGGACAGTCTGCATTTCACTGACAAGGTAAGCTGGAGATGCACAGAGAGCCAACATTTGAGGCAGAAAAATAATAAACATTATTTGTGTAGCATTGCTCAAAACAGACTAACAAGGTTTTTGACAGGCAACAGTACTATATGAAATAAGTAATACATGATTAATACACAAAAGGCAATCAAGTAAACTTTGTGTTAATTATGTGAATATGCAGTCTGTTGTGGTATGTGTAGTACTTACAAAATGTATTCTCCTTCTCAAAGAGCGTTGCATAGCACATGTTCTCAAGTGTGATTCTATAAGACTGTCCTAGCCAGAGGGCAGGTGTATTTACATTTACAGTTATTCATTTGATGTTTTTATTCAAAGAGACTTACATTTGAGGAACAACATACAAGCAAATAGCAATTACAGAAAGAGATCTACGAGTGACAATAGATACTAGTAAGAGCAACAATAAATACTAGTAGGAGCTATTAGCATGGGCGGCATCAATGGGATAAATACCTAGGGAAAGAAGTAAGAGTCAACAAATAGTGCAATCAATACAAGAGGATTGTTAAGAGATAGAAGAAGAAAAGCACAGGAACTGCATGTTAGACATTAGGGCTTAGGGGTCTTATAAGAGAAAGTGTTCTTGGGAGAGATGAGCTTCTTGAAGTTAGAGAGGGACGCCCTTGCTCTGATGGCGTGTACTAGCTTGTTCCACCATCATTGTGTTACAGTACAGTCCCTACTGTTAAAGTAGCACAAGCTCCTTGCCATATCTGCATTATAGAAGCAACCCCAGCAGACACAGAAGATCACTGTGGGCACCTGCGCTTTTGTACCTGTGTTGCTATTGGTTATTTTATCAGATTTAGAAGTTTGAATGAGTGATTTTATGCCTGATGCAAGACGTATTAAATGCTTTAACTTGCCATGCATTCACTTGATTACCTCAAACAAGGTTACATTGTGACATTTTTGCCTCTCTATTGAGTTCAGTTGCTTTTGAATAGTATGATCTGATGAAACATAATCATATGTGAAGTAACCCACATTGTCCACTGCACATGTTCCAGGACGTCATTTGGTTAAGCCAAATGACAACAAATCAGACGATATACAGTTGCTTATGTACTAGGATTGGGAAATGTCTACAAAATTTCCATCGGACGATGTCAACACTGAAACATCGGGATGGACGATGGTATCGGGTACGCGCTCGCGCACAGGCGTGGGGGGAGTAGCGGTCGTCTTATATGTGCATAAGTTACCTCGCACGGACTTCACTCGGTTAAAAACTTGGTAGGCAATGACGTTACAAGTCGCGGTGGATATTTTACAAGCACGGACCAGGTAAAGTGGGGAGAAGATAATTCGGAGGAAGGTCTGAAGCATATTTAAAATTTATAATAATTATGTTCCTGGTGATTAAAACCTGCTGGTTTAATGTGAAAAATGTAGATTTTTTTGCCTTGGCGGGTGGGGTTTTACAATCACGATGCCTGCTCAACCATCGCCCATCTGTCAGCCATCACTGATGGACGATGGCATCTTCTTATCAGCCCAACCCTAATATGTACCTAATACATAAAAAATACATACATGAGCCTTTTACTTCTTAATAAAGAAACATAGAAAAATCTTACAGGCATGGTTATGCTAATGTGAAAGTGAGAGAAGTGAGCTTGCAATCATTGTCCATCACCAGCTTGATTTCCTGAACCTATTGAGAAAGTCTGAGAAGGGAAGTACACTCGTCGCTAAAGAACAGCTGCTGATGAGTTGCCCTTGAGCAAGACATTCTCCACTAGCTGCACTAGTGGCCTGCTCAGGGACCAGTGCTAATCTACCGTGGCCAGCTTTATGACTGTAAAGAAAGTTGTTGAAATAAAGTATGAATGCAACAGAAAATCTCCCCTTGCCAAACCATAAACCTGTTTGGAGGTTGTCATCACGTCTGTTCGCTTTTCATGTCCACCAGTCTAGTTTGACGTTCACACCGTGCTCTTCAGGGGCATTTATATTCCAACCAGATGTAGCACGTCTGGCAGTTGCTTACAACATTAATTATTCACTCCTCGTCGCTATAATTTGCTTCCCTCTGAGACGAAAATTACTTTGCCCCTGACCAGCCACACTCCCTCGTTTAAAAAGAGCGTTGTCTCTTCACTGGCTTCAGAGAGACTGAGTGGGATGCGTGAGTTTGATATTGTATCAGGATGTTTGGAGGTAGGTGTTTAATCGTGTCATAGCAGGGAGTGTTTATTGTCTAGTGAAGAGGGCATAATGCACCTCCCAAGGGTATGCAAAAGAATGTTGCTGAATGAAAGAATCGCTCTGAACACCAGACAGGAAAGCTTCATTAGGTTTGATAAATCATCACTTTGGGTGGTGCCATCTTGCGAGTGGGAGATTTTGCGGCATGCATCATAAGATCCCATCTGCATTGAGAGTGGTTTTGAGATTGTGTGTTTCCACTTTAAATATAGCAAACATTGTGTAGCCATTTAAAAAAAAAAACTGACATTTCCGCAGCATATTTAGACACCTGCTTTTAGTGGTACATTGTATAAACAATATCCCTGTCTTAATCTCTATTTGCATATTTTTAGCCTTTGAAGTCAGAGAGGCCGGTGAACATAGAGAATCTTGCTGTCAACAATAACAATGGTCAGTCTTATGGCTACACGCTGTATGAGACCACAATCACCAGTGAAGGAACCCTCAACTCAAAGAACAACGTCAGGGACAGAGCTCTGGTAAAGACAGGACAACAGACACAAACATAATACATCCGCTGTCACACATTTATACTTTTCTTTGTGAGAACATTTAGGAAGCTGTGATCTAAGCTTGTGAGAAATCACACCTCTGATCAGTGTACTTGTGGAGCACAATTAACAAGCTCAGGCTGCCACCAGTTGCTCTGGTGTTAATGTCAAACAGTTACTGCAGCCTGCAATTCTCAACAGTTGATGTCTAAAATCTTCAGTGAAAGACTGAATGTAATGTAGGACAAATGCATAAATGCCTCATGCTCTTTCCGCTTTTCAAAATATTTGCTTTGCATTTAATTAAAAATTTTTTTTTTTATTCTTAGGTTTTTGTGGACAAACATTTTGTTGGTGTTCTGGATTATAAGACGCAAGAACTCGCACTCCCTGTTGGGAAGGTAGCTTTTGTCTGTGGTTTGGTCCTTCTGTGTGTAGTTTAGACCTAGTATGCTGTTAGCTGATTTCAAAAGGATAAAGTTGTTAATATTAAGGGTGCTCCGATCAATCGGTCACTGATCGTAATCGGCAGATAATGGCTTTAACTGGGTAGATCGGTGGTCTCTAAAAAGGCAGATCAGAAAAGCTGATCAGATGATGCAATACTCGCTGGACATATTTTCAATGGCAGCTAAAATGGTGCCATCTGAGTAGTTTTCAAAGCTAGCTAGCACCAAAGTCCTTTTCAGACAGGAAGCGATTGATGAGCCCAGTTAATCATTTACAATGAGAGTTTAATTGTCTTGACCCACAGCACATCAGGCGACTGATCCCCTTAGTGTGAGTTTCCTGATGCAAAGAGAGGCGCCACTCAATCAGCTGACTGCCTCCTAGTCCGTTTTCTGCCTCTAGCCTCTTTGTACTGCCATGTTGCTTTCAGTAAAGGTTCCACCAGTTCCACTTCGTTGTCGGTCAATGCAAAAAAAATACCTGTGTGGTTCTTTGTCTGTAGTACTTTCTTCTTTTGCTAAATCTTCTGCAACTGCGGAGTAGACCATCTGCTTCATGTTTACACCGGCAGGCGCATGCCCAGTGTATGTGAATGGCAGCTAGATGTGCCTTTTTTCAGTTGTTTTAATTTGGACAGAGATTAACTCTGACACGCACAAAAACGCTGCTGTGGACGGAGAAGATCGTATTCGTTATAAAACTGTTTAAAAAACTGTAGTAGTGTGGATATAGCCTCATATTACCCCACTCCTCTCTCTGCTCCTTGTTTAAATGTTTCCCTGTAAATCTCCCGTATTTTTAACCTTTATAAAATCAAATAAAAACCTGCTGGCCGTATTTAAAGTGTTAGCTTGTCTCTCCTCTGGTAAATCCGGTGGCAGTAGGCCTATGTAAAAGATGTAGACTTCTTGCACAAGGATTTAATAAATGAAAACAACCCACTGAAATAATATTAGGCCTATACTAGTGGTATGAAATTATAATGTGTATATAGTAACGCTAAGTAATATTAACAGAATAATGTGTAAATTTCCCTTATTTTGAAATCTCAGTGATGACAGTTATGACTCCTCTGTAGCCCTCTCTCCCACTCTCTGCTCCTCTCTCCGCTCCCTAAAGCTCACAGAACCTGCCTGAGCTTTCCAGAATAAAAAGCGGCTATTCAGAGTTTATCATAGACTCATGATGCCTGTGCACCTTTTATCTCCTAAATATTTTGGCTACAGCCTTTTTTGTTGCAGTTTTTAAAGTTGAAGTAAATTTATAAAGTATAAAAATATATATGCTGTTTGTTCTGTTTTTGTAGTTTATTCCACAGGAAAGCTATATTTCTTAAGCTGTAAGATGTTCACAGTAACCAGGCAAAGGCTGCTATGGTTTGAGTCTCTAAGACAGAGGGAGTGGAATTTGTTGCCCATGTTTCCTGGCAATAAAGTAAACAGTTGTCATTTCATGATACTTATTATCTGTTAATTTTAATACTTAACACATTGTTTGTAGGACTAATTAAATAAATATACAGTATAATGCTACATGATAAATAAAAGGCTTCAAATTAGACCCAGTGATCGGTGAACGATATCGGCCGATGCTGCTTTCAATAATCTGTGATCGGCCCAAAAAATCCTGATCGGAGCACTCTAGTTAATATTTAACATCATGCAAAAACAGTATGTGAAAGCTTCAGGGTATGCTGATGGATGTTTTTGGCAGCAAGGTCACAGTATTAAAAGTTAGCTTTGGTATTTTTCAACCTGGAAATTGGTCCAGTATTGAGCGAGCGCGCTTTAGTCAGCAGCAGCGAAACAGGGCTTCAACGTAATCTTTGTGGGCAATTGTGCCTCGTCAAAGTACATCCACTTAAGTTCTTGTTTTTGCCATTGGCAGGCTCAGATTCTTATAACAAGTAGCTGCAAATATTTTGGAATATTAATATACAGAAAGTCACTATGACACTCTTGTCAAAGCCACCAGACTCCATTGATAAAAATAGTAATTTTACTTTGCAGAACGCGGGAATTGCTGGTCTACTTCTGCCTTGGTTGGTTAGTTAGTTTGTTTGTGTTATTATTTGACTTAGTTGTTTTTATTTGTTTGTGTAATTGTGTGAAGTTGGTGTTTTAAGGGGTTAAAAACACACAATAACACTAACCGATGGTTGCAGCGGGAGACCAGAGAGGTAAAATTACTGTTTTTGTCAGTGGAGTCTGGTGGCTTTGACAAGACAGTGACTGCTCAAAAAAGTCTATCTCTGTAGGTATAATAAATAATTTTGTTAGAAACTTATAATGTCAGTCTGTCAGTGGCAAAAACAAGGACTTTAGTGGACGTACTTCGACGTGGCGCAATTGTCCATTAAGGATTAAGTTGTAGCACTGTCTCGCTGATGCTGACTGCAGGGCGCTCGCACAATACTGGACCATTTTTTTTAAATGTTGTCCCAACAAAAACATGAGAAAATAGGTTTCCAGTTTAAAAAATACTGAGGTTACCCTTTTAGCCAACAGCAAACCTTCAAATGACTGTTTATCTAATTTTGAATAGTCAACTATAACAGAAAAGTGTAGACTCAGATCGGCCCTGATCAATGTACTGTACCTCAGTAATGCCTGTCATGTTTTATATTGTCTACTGAAGGGGAAAAGAACTCTAAGTTTACTGGTGGAGAACTGTGGAAGAGTGAATTATGGGAAAACCCTGGACGAGCAGCGCAAAGGTACAAATTGTTACATAAACTGATTGCTTTGTTGATTTTCAAGTCTTGCCGAATTATCTTTCTCATTAGAGGCATCGACAGAAACTAATTAACAGTTTTTCAAGAGCCTTAAGAAAACTTGAAGCAGCTTTGACGCACCTTTCAGGACTTGTTGGAGATATCGAGTTAAACAGGCGCATCCTCCGAGACTTCATTATTCATAGTCTGGATATGAAGCCAGGCTTTGTAAACAGGTTTGTATCTTTCAATTATTATCCAGTTTCCTGACATGTTTGTGTTTCTCTGTCATTAAACTGCCTGCTCATGATTCAAACCAGCTGATAAGCTCTCTGCCGAACACAATTACAATGGGAACATGGTGATTAAATATAGAAATCAAAGCATGGCCCTCTAATTCAGTGTTTAATGTTAAATCTTTTAATTATAAACATGGCTCGAGTCAGTTAAAATCTGTACAGTTATCAATGTTCAAGGGGCTCAACATGATAGAGAACTTTATACCTTTTTGTCACTAAAGGGTAAAGCAGGCAGATGGATCTGGTATTGAATATTTCACACCAGTGGTTGACAGCATAAGGTCTTCATAACATACAGTATTAGCTAAATTCAAACTAGGCAAAGCATAAAGCAAAAATGTAAGGTCCAGGTGGTCCAGGTACAATGATGAAAACACCACATGAAACCGGGAGGTAAAAATACACTGTTATTGAAGTTGAATTTCAGTTAGCAGCGTGTATCTGACAGCTTAAATGTAAGAATTCAAAGCAATTAAAATGCCATTTCCAAGGGCTCAAAAACATAGAACTTTCTGCATCAACCAACATGAACAGTGATTTAATGTTGAAACACACCAACATGGATAAACCTTTAACAGGATAGTTATTAAATGCTACAATATATTTACCAAATAATTGACAAGATCATTGAACACACATTTGTGCATTGAAACCTTGTTCAAAACCTTGAATTCATGGCCAGTACACAAACACATTACTAACTAACAAACACAGAACTACTGTGCAATGGAAAAATGTAAGGTCTGAATGATTTCTATTAAGACAGGTTTGTCTTAACTGTTAAACGTGGACCTGTTTAATGTGGCATCAATCCCATAATAGTCATTAGGTTTGGTAATTTATCTACAACAGCCAAGCATTTTAAGGTCATTTGCATGATCCCATTGCACTCCAAGGTGCAAATGAATATCTGTCATTATGTTTCCATATTACAAGATTAGAATGACCTCCTTGTACATTGCTGATCACATGCAAGATTAGTGTCATTAACACCAGATTGAAGTCAGGCATCTTCCACAACCCTTCCCAATCACAAAATTGATTGATCATTTCTAGGGGTTTTCTTATGTTTTATTCAGACCGGTATGCATCTCATATTTGTTGCACAGATATGAAACACCAGGGTCAGTAGGAGTAGCTGACATTTTTGTTTGTTTACATATTTGCACTTAATGGACTATCTTGATATATTTCCAAGTCGTTTTTGTGTCTCTCCTCATGTACTGAGAAATTGCAATTTCTTTACCTCAGCACCATCATGAAAATGTCAAGGCCCGAAGCCCTGCATGAATGAACACTAAAAATGCATAACAGAGGAAGGAATTTTGGTCTTATATTATGGCAACCTTTTAAATTTACTTGGAGGCAAAATATAACCTACTGTATAGCCAAAACAAATATAGTGATTCTGTATATTTCCCCTGGCATCCATGTCCAAACTTTCACTTGACATTTACTTAATACATATAAATAGGAATGACATGATACACTGGACACCTAAATGTCGAGACTGACAATGTATGCAGAATGTATCTGTTAAATACATTACAGAACCGAGAGTTGTACTGCCATGCCATGAAACATCCAGTAGAAAAGTGCAATTTATTCTCCTTTTACAGACTTGAGACTTCAGGCCACTGGATGTCTCTGCGTCATCGGCCCTCCTTCCCAGGTTTTTTCCAGACCAGACTCTATGTGAACAGTTCTCCTAAAGACACCTTCATCAAACTCCCTGTGAGTAGTGCAGGCACTCAGCTTGCAATCCAGTACAGCAGCACAACAAACTACAGCCTCAGAAACTGAGTATACTATAAAAACGTTAAAACATCCAAAAGTATATGGACAGGTGTGTGGATTTGTTTTACCTAACCTCTCATAGATTCACAATGGACATGAAAGTTTAAGTTAAGCCATTTATTAATCAGATATGAATGTCAAATTTTACTTTCTTTAGATTTAACAGAAATCAAGTTGTCAATACTTTCATAGATAATTACACCCTTCCAAGCTCTGTATATTATGTACATTGTTTTGAAATGTGCATTGCTTTGGTAAGCATTTTTTTTACCTGAGCTTTGGCCAGACAGTCAGGAAGCTGTCTTTACCACGTAGACTTTAGACATGGGAATCTGTCCTTTTATAGATCTGTTCTGAATTTTGAAACCAGAAATTTAAATGTATTATATACAGTTAGCTCAGACTATTACTAGTTATCATACCTCCTTCAGAAATACTTTTGAAAAGTCCCCTGAGAAATAGCTCTTCAGCAGGCTTTTTTGAGTGCTGCCTTACTTATAATTCATTGGATATATTTACAGAAACATTTGTATTTCATTTACTCTGGTGTGAGAACAGAGAACGTCTGAAAAGGCTCTTTACAGAAAAGATGATCCAATTTGTATGCAATTCTCCTTAACACAGTTATTGATTGAATAGGCCTTGAATAAGTGCCACTTGACCAGTCATCCATCCTGCTATACTGTATAACTCTCGTGTTTTTTCTTTAGCTTGTAACTTTCCCAAAGTGTTCCAGTGCTGAGACACAAAATGAAGAGGCTAGAAGTCAAGAAGCTTAGAGCTATAATTAACAACAACCCAGGATGTATTAAGCAAAATCTGCAACTCATTAAAAAAGGAAGGCTTGACATGTATTCTTGGTAGTTAAATGTTTCTTTTTTTACCCATCAGCATTTAATTGGCTGAACCTCCCTGTTGGCGAACAGTCATTGATTCTGTTCACAGGGCTGGGGCAAAGGCGTAGTGTTTATCAACGGCAAGAATCTGGGACGCTACTGGTTCATCGGTCCTCAGCAAACTCTCTATGTCCCAGGTCCCTGGCTTCACAGAGGAGACAACAAGGTATGGTCTCATCTATATCTGCTTACCCTTCAGGAGATACTTTTATCAAAGTTACTTTAGCACATTTTTTAAAAATCTAGTTAGATCTCAACATTGTTTGTGATGTAAAGTTCTGTACAGAAACACATTTTGCACTAGTTACCCTTCAGGTTCTCTTCAGTCCCATATGTTTGTTACTTAACAGGATAATACATTGTAGTAAATACATCATAATGACATAGTTTTTGGTGTATCTACTAGTGCTACCACATGGTCACATTTAAAGCAATTTAAGTTCTCACTCAGTTGTAGAATATATATGTGTGTGTGTGTGTGTGTATATGTATGTGTATATATATATATATATATATATATATGTATGTGTGTGTGTGTGTATATATATGTATTGTCCCAGGTCTCTCACACCAAAGGCAGGCATCTTATCCATTGCGCCATCACCACGACCCGCAGATGCAAATGAAAATCCTCCAAATCTTAAAGACTGTGCAAACATAGCAGATGTACATGGTCTAGTTCCATCAGTCCTTCAATATGGCAAAGTAAAAGCACATCACAGGTCAACAGTTACAGCATACAGCTACCGATATCCATCACCTCTGTGTTTCTCCTTGTCTTTTCTCCGAGTATGCATATATTGACACTGGTGTTCAACCACCCACTGTCAGTGTCCCTTCATGACCTCAGCTAAGCTGGTATTTTTTTGCTTTATTGCAGATCACAGTGTTTGAAGAGCAGGAAACAGATGGGAAGATTCAGTTCGCTAGCAGCCCCGACTATGGCATGACTGTTGATGTCCAGTGAGGGTGGAAGTGTGGATGAGGAGAGGAGGATTATGGAAAAGTAGCTGGGGAGGACGTGATTCAGGCGACTGCTGTGAGCTTCGTCTTCTGAGGCACTGATGCCCGGCTACGACCAGCAGCACTCAAGAGTGACACATGTCAGTGAGCATGACATTTTGTGTTATATCACAAGATGCCAACACAGCAGTGATCCAGGCTACTTTTTCATTTCATGACTGCATTTATGACAGTCTGTTGAATCCTTTTTATTCAATTTAGTAACTGTATCATTAACCTGCACTCATATAGTACATAATTGGAGACCAAGGGACTGTGACAGAGAATGATCTTGATTATAATAAAGTGTTATAAAATCTCTTCCTCTCACAGAATTTATAAATTACAGGCTGTGTAAAAAGAACTGTGAATAAAGGCTGGTTTGACCCCTTGTCAGTAGCTAAGGCCAAGGAAGCTTGTGAACTGCTTTATTTATCCTGCACACTAAGAGCCTGTTTGATATAACACTGGTTGGTTTTCAAATTTACCTTCTTATGATATGCTGTTAGCTCCTTCAGAGAGGTGAAGATTACAAGCTGTGTTTGAAAACCAGCCTGGATACCATCACAATTATTTTCTATAAAGGAATATTTCACCATCGGCAACATGGTATATTCATAAATGTGCAAATATTTTTTAAATTGGTGCTACATGACCAGAGAAAATAGAGAAAAATGGCTGTGGTATTCCCTAATACAGAGCCTAAATCCCTCCCTTCAACTTTCGCCCCTTGGGACCTTATTTCGGAACAAATGTAAATGTTAAGTTAGTCAACAGTGAGGCAACTAATTTTGGATCCCATTTGTGCTGTGCCCTAACTTACACACATGATTTTTGTCAACTTAGAAGATAATTTTCTCTGTCAAGAAAGTGGCAGTTTGTTGTAAAGCAGTAAAGTGACATTTTATGAAACCGATCAATAAACTACATCTCTTGTCTCACAATATACATCATCAACATGTTAACGCTGTAATGCTAGCTGTATTGGTTGTCTGCTACTAGCTGAGTAAGTTAACTATATTCCTCGCACAAATGTATCTCCCTGATGTGTTTAATCCAACGACTCCCATGAACGTTAGCTTGCTGATGTATGTCCTATTTAAAGTATAAAGAGGCAATGGAATATGATCGATAGTCTGACCTGACACTTGTCCAAATGCTGGTTAATGATGTAAACTGGAAAGATTTTAAATGACATTTAATTAGAACAATTAGAATGACGTTGGGGAAGTTAGCATAATCGGATGTTTCCTACTCATTTTTCAAACAGCATGAATACTAATAAGATATTTCTTTATATATGGATATATAAATAAATGCTTACATTTACAAACTCCTAGCTCGCAGGTTTAATATATAATTTGGCTCCTTAAGCTGTTATATTTTTGTCAGTTATGTCACATTTACTAGCTAGCTAGCTAGCTTAAAACTGATGTGACAGTAGCTTGTAAAACTCTTTACTAGATAAGGTATTCCTTTTGTGGTATTGGTGCAGTGTAAACTAACAAGTTTGAAACTAGCTAGTCATTATGAATAACTTAAGTACTTGACAAATAAACTAGCTGCTGCAACCCAATCCACCCAATCAATGTTGAATTCCAGTAAATATCAAGGACCTTTACAAATGCATCACTTTGGACTCACTGAGTGTAATTTTTTTAAATGCATTTGTAGAATTGTATATTTCTCACATTTTATATCGTGGTGAGATATGCACTGTGTGCAACTGTAGCATGATCATCAGTATGCATTAAAGCCTTTTCACCATGCCAACAGACCAAATGCATCTGATTTCAGAATAGAAACACATACTACAACACACAGTGGAAAAAACATCCATTGTACAAACACAATACTCCAGTATGGATGAGTTTCTTCTCAGTTATTTATTTCTCTTGATTCAACTAACATCTTACTCTGAGACAGAATTGATATGGCAAATAAACAACCTTAAGAGTCACATGCAGAAAATGTGAATCACATGAGGCCGGAAGATGACAGTGGAGATGAGGAAAAGGGACTTGTGTGTATTGTGCCTTATAGAAACCCTCAGAGGGTAATGCTCACTAACTGACATTAAATATTGAATAACCTGTACTACCTAAGTTGATGTATAGGTTGGTTGTTTCTAGTAGACTAAGTCTTTTTGTGAGTAGTAGATATTGCTCAATACATCATCTGTTGGGAGTCAGAAAAAAAATTAAGATCAGATGTCGGACACAGTAGCAACAACCTCAGTTTCAAGGTGAAGCCCTTTGAATTGTTCTGCTGCTTCAGGACACACCAGAGAGTAACATCACAGAATCTTATTTAACCAATAAAATATATAACCAATATAACAAATCCAGCCTGTACGCCACATGACATTTGTTTGCCTGCATCTTGACAACAGCAACATTTAGAAGGTGAGAGCAGGAGTTTAGTTTCTCTTGAACAATAAATGATATACAACAAACTACATTTTGGGAAAACGTGTTTGCACAAAATGGAAACAAGTTAAGCTGCATTTTAAAGGATAGTGTTCTAATTAAATCTTTAACACACTGGCATTTTTCCACTTTGGACTACAACTCTTTGTAGTACTCTCTTTGTACTCTTTGTAATTTGTTTCAGTGCTTAAAACATTTCAGGTGAACATTTAGATTAAAAGCTGATAATAACCACTGAAGTAGAATTTAGATCAACAGCAATGCTAAAAAGAAGATGTTGTGTGTGTGTGCCTACCTGTTGGTAGCACGAACCTGTTACTGATCTATATGATAATCCATGTGTACAGTCTGCTGTATGTGCGCATGCTTTTTTTAGAGAGCAGTTAGAAAAGACAGATTTAAGGGCAAACGCTGCTATCATTCAGTTGCACATCCACACTTGAAATAAATACATAAATAAATATATAAAATTTGATGTGATTTAATAAATAATGGGAGGTAAATTGAAGAATAGAACAAACCCAAAGATAGTCTGTGATCTCCATGACCGATCCCTGTGCTGTGTAATATCATGCAGTCAATGAAAGCAGCCAGTTTGATTAGAGATACAATACAGCCATTGTCTGAATGCGTATCTCGTCATATTCCAAGTGAAATATGTAATAACACGCTTTCTCCGGCTGATGAGCCCGAGAGGCAAATAACGTCTTTGTAAGTTTTCATACTGCAGCAGTGTATTTTGGGTTGTGTGTGTTGAAGGGGGGGCGCACAGAGATAATCTGGCAACAGTACAGAGACTCTGTGTTTGAATTATCTCCAGCTACTTCTGCTGGGCAATGTTAGATAAGAACCACCACTGTGTATTGCACTAGACGAATGATTTATCGAGTACAGGAGAGATTCTATTATGTGAGGTGTAGAATAACTTTGTTACAGTTTTCAGGCGTACAGTGACATAGCTACTATCGTTAGAAGTGCAGAGGCTCCCTTCTGTGATCCGGTTAATGCACAACAGATGGACACTAATACAAAAACCCCCTTGAGATACAAACATCAGTCCACATTACTGGAGATGGCATGTCAACGTTGCTACCAAACCAGTAGCAAAAACAAAATTTATTTTTGTTGTGCTTTTCTTCAGCCTGCTGTTATTTCAGAGTAGCATGTATTATCTCATTTTAGTGGAAGCCAATGTTGGTTATAAAGAAAACAAAATATTTGGGGTCATGTATAAGATATTTTAATCTATTATTCATAACTTACACCAGCTGTTCAAAGGTGAGTTGTATTAAAAGTCAGCAGATGCAGCCTGAGCATCTAAATTTATGTTTTTGGAGAATTGGCAAGGGGGACTGGCAAGTCTAGTAAAACCAAATCCTTAGGCTTTTACGCTGTTTCATTCTGCTCTTTTGTGTACTTGCACACAGCTGACCCTTGTTAAGCAGTGGCTCATGTACATATGAGCGTGCGCAGACAACGGGAAATGTGAACTCACTAAAATGACAGTTTCCCTGCAATGTCAAAAATGACACTTTATGAAAGCTTACATGGCAATTAGTTCAGAATTTGTGAATTTATCATGTAGCTGATTTGAACTTCTTGTCTATGCATTATGAATGTGTCACAAAGTGGAGTTTGTATTATCAAATGAAATTGGTAATGTGCTATTACTATTTCCATGTGTTGAACCTATAGTGAGCCTGTGCCTTGTTCTGTGTCATTGTGAGGAATTCACCAGGGGGAAAAGAGAAGAGAGTTTTTGTTTTTACATATAAATACAGTAATTACAGTGCTTTTGTCAAAATGTGTCATTAATCCTCGGATTGTTCTCATTTTGAATTACTATTTACACATGTTGCCACAAAGGAACATCATTTGTGTATTTTCTAAGTGCTAAGAAGAGTGTTAAGATTTTGATGTTGACATTTACATTTCAGCTCCCAAGCACAAGAAGGGGTACATTTCAAACAGCAGTCTCTCCTCAAGTGTACGGGTGGCTTAAATGCGGGTGGTTATAATGACACTATAAAATGAACAATGAATGTAGATAAGAGTCAGTAGTGATCTAGCAAGTCAAGCTCTTGGAAAACGCCCAAAGCAATTAAATTAAAGCAAACATTTCATAGTTATCAAAAGAACATTCCTTCCCTTGCCATGTTTGTGTTTGCTCAAAGGAAAATCCACATGAGACATATCTGTCCTTGGAGTCGTGTTTTTATTCAGGCTGATGATGCAGGTCGTGTCCTTAAATCCAAGAGGAATTTCTTGTACCATGTGCAGATCCAGACAATGTGTGTTCTTTTCCCCCCTTAGTCCCTTCTTTTTTGAGGTGAAGGATATTATTTAATCTGCTTGTTTGGTTGAATCCGCTGGCTGTATGCTTTTCATATTGTGCTGTCTCTTTTGTTAGGTTGTCCTCAGCAGGCCGTTGTACCTCGAAGGTGCAGGTCACTGACCCCGTGAGATGTCCTTTATGTCGTCTCCTCTGCACTTCAGTCGTAGACCTGCCAAATAACTGCCGCCTCTTACTAATCTGTGCTTTAATATGATACATTTGTACTGCTTCAATCCATATTTTAAAAATGTCAGATTCAGTCAAGAGGATTAAATCCCCCTTCAAAAAGGCCCCCATTTCCTTTTTTCCTGATTATTAAGACATGAGCGCTGGTTGCACTTATCAAGAGCCGTTTTCTTCCTGCACAGGTCCAAGGCCAACCACCTGCAGTAGAAAGGATTAAGATATGCTGAGAAAGAGCGCTAAGCCTTATTTAAGTTAATTGAACATGTTTATTTCCTTGGTGACATTCAATAATGGACAACATCTGCTGTAATTGTACCTTAACAGGAAGCACATTTAAAAATGAATGTACAATGTATTAGGAAATATTAAGAACACCTGCTTCTTTTGTAGTCTAACTAGTTGAGACCAGGTGAACATGATCATGACAATTCCAATTCCCCCGCTTTCTCCAATGTGTTGACAAGGTCTGTAATGGGAAGGTATAATAAAATATACCAAAACTTATTTATTTACCGTAGTCTGGGGGAAATGGTCAAATCTCCACATTGGGGTCTGTGAAGCCTTTTTTCCCCTCGTTTACAAGGACAGGTTTCTCCGTTCTCGTGTGCCAAACAAGTATCTGGTGAGAAAATAAACAACAACAGCAGCATTACAGCATGCACTCATTAGGTCTGCTCTCCCTTTCAGCGCCCACTCAGCCTCATGTTCTTCAAAACAGTCATTTCCTGTTATAGCTCCCAACAGGACCTGTCTATGTGTAAAGATGCTTGAGCATGAACCCTGCGTTAGAAGGGAGTGAGAGGGACCACAAGTGTATTATCTGACAAATATGACACACCCTCTCAGCTTGGCCCATGTAAAGCCCTCTCCTGACCATAGGATAATGGCTACCTTCAAATGACAGCCGACTCAAAATGTTTCCACACAATATGTAGGAGCTCTTTGCCTTTGCAATAGCACTGCAGTTCTTTGCACAGTTTTTTCTGGGTATGCTATTGTGCTACCAAGACTTCAGACTGGGTTCATTTGGCCCCAGAGACAGGACAAAAATCCAGGAAAAGGATGGCAAGGGGAACGGAGGGGGCCAAAAGTGTCAAGCCCATTTTCCCTCTTCTCTGTATTGGAACCC